ACACAAAACTGTTCAGAAAATGCCATTTTTAAGCTGCTCTTTATAGTAAATTCGTACAATGTGATTTTATGACAACTTTTTTTTCTGTACATGGGACCAAAAATTCATAGCTCTTAATTTACTAGTGGACTAAAATTTGTCCAAAAGGTTTAGCATTCCAAAGAAGGATGCAAAGACATCAAAGGATTAAAGGTGACTGAAATTAATCAAGTTAAGGTATTTTTCATTAAAATATATAGTGGGTAAGACTACAGCAGTTTGCCTTGTGGTAGAAACACAAAGATTATTAATCACAGGGTTAAAGGAAAATCTGAGAATGCCATTTAAAACTACATTTTTCTCCTTGCATTTTGCCCTTTTAAAAGTATATCTTGTAACCTTTCCAACTGAGATTCAGATCAGCTAATGCAGACGACATTGATTTGCTTTCTTTTTGAGATGCACCCTAGAAATGACTAGCCTGTTCCTAGTGTTCTCAAAAACATGCATCTTTTCCTTCTAACATGCATCTAATCATCCTCCTATAAAAGCAAAATTGCCTTCTGGCCGGCACTTTTACTTTAGTATCCTCAGGTATTCCCAGCAATGGGCTAATTGTTTCTGGGTCCACTGAAGGATATTGCAGGATATCAGGAAGTAACAGATTGGTAGAAGAACATCATCCTATTCCTGTTTCTTCCACAAGCACTTGAGGATACGTACAGGGTACATGTGATTACAAGTTACAGCTCACTTCCACAACAATCTCAAAACAGTTAAGTAGGCATCAATACAGGATGTAAGATGTGAGAGAGAAGACAGGGATAAATAACTTCTCAAGATGAGTTTGCTTAAGTACCATGTACTTAGCTATAGTATCCACTTTCCTCAAAGCTGTTAGCTGTTGCATACCTAGACAGTTCAGCTGTGTGCCATTACCTTGATTATTGAATTTTGAATTTGTTTTTTTTCAGGGTGCAGAGAAAGGGTGCTGCTAGTTCCAAAAAGCATGTATGATTGTCTCCACTTAAGACCTATTTATTTATCCAGACCTTTGCTAAGGGAATAAACACTGGGTATTTGTATGATATCCAAAATTGGGTTTTAATTATTTTTCTGTTGATATTCATCAGTAGAATACACACATACTTATTGCAGTCTCCAAGACATAATAGAAATGAATGTTCTACAAGCTGAAAACTAACTAGAGAGATGACTGCACCTGAAACTTGTAAGGACAGCTTTAGCAAAGGCGTCACCTGTGCCTGTCACTGTATTTTCAGAGCACTTCACCATCCATCCTACAGACTTCAAACCTAAAATGAAGTACTTCACATGATAAACAGTATTATTGTATAATAAGACTGTTGCTTTATCAATTAAATTCAAAAGCTACCAAGAAAAAATGGTTTCACTGTTTAAATGGGACCAAAAGAACCACAGATCAGCCCAGGCTGAAGGAACCACGAGAGACCCTCTTAATTCAACCTTTTTTAGGAAAGAGAGCCTGGATGAGATTATCGAGCACTACTGTCCAGCTGCATCTTGAAAACCTCCTGTGATGGGGACTTTACTCCTGGGGAGGTCAGTCAAATAAATTATTCATCATTATAAAATCATGCTTATTGTATATCATTCTCCTTGAATCATTCTCATTGTAAAAACAGTTTTTTCTTGCACAGAGGAAATATCCCTCACTACAACTTGTATCCACTGCCCCTAGAGAAAAGGAGGGTCTCAATACTATCTGTAGTCATGCTTTGGAAAAGTGTGTTGAGGTCCCTCCTGAAAATTCTATGTACTAGCAAGATCTAACTTTTACAGTCTTCCCTCAAATGTCAGGTTCTCCCCATCCTTGGCCATCTTTATGGCACTCCTTTGACCCCTCTTTAGTCTGTCCACATCTGTTTTGGAACTGTGGGGGCTAGAACTGGACACACGATGCCATGTGCAGTCTGACAAGTGCTGGTGAAGTGGGATGATCACATCTCTCTGTCAGCAGTGCCCCCAGGGATGCAGCTGAAGGTCCACTTTGTCTCAGTGGCTGCAGCAGTGCACTGCTGACCTGGTGTCTGTGTGTTGTCTGCTGGGAGCCCCGGGCTCCTCTTGGCAAGGCTGTTCCACAGCTCATGGGTCCTAGCCTGGCTGGGCTCTTTGGTTTTGTTTTCTTGGCTCTTTCGGTCTTTCCTGCTCTCCCAGGTTCAGGACTCTGCACTTCTCTTGGTTGGACTTTACACAGTTGCTGTGGCCCAGTCTTCCAGCCTGCTCATATCTCTGAAAGGTGGCTCTCCCTGCCAATGTGTGCCCCTCAACACCCAGTTTAGTGACACAGCAAACATGGTGAGGGTGTTTTTGGTCCCATTGCCCAGATCATTCATGGAGATGTTACAATGGGGGGCCCAGTACCAGGGGCCCTGCTTGTGACAGCTTTCCAGCCTCAGTAAAACACACTGATCACCTATGAGATGATTTCTGCCCATCTCACAGACCATCCCCATCCAGTCTGTATTTAACATTCATCTAGGAGGAAACTGGGAGACATGACATGTCAAATCCTTTACCGAAGTGCAGGCAAGCAACATCCACTGCTTTCTCATATTGACTGAAGATTGTAATTTGTTTTAGAAAGGTGATCAGGTTAGCCTGGCATGATTTGCCTTTGATAAATCTGTGCTGGATTTTCCCAGTCACTTGTTTCATTTAGTTGGTAATAGTTCCTAGGAGGCTTGTTCTGCCACTTTCTCAGGGACTCCAATAAGGATAGTGGGTCCTCTTTCGGGCCATTCTTATAAACAGGTATGAGATCTGCCCTCTTCCAGTCATCAGGGATATCCCCTGATCTCCATGAATTTTCAAAATAATAAGACTGTGGCCCTGCAACAATATCAGCCACTTCTCACTCAAGATTTCTGAGTCCCTTTTTTTTTGAACAGATGGTTCAGGTCAGTGTTGTACTAGTAATGAGCCAAATCAACACAAGTCCTACAGAAGTAGATTGATATAATGGGCTACTTGAGGTCACAGTTAACTAAGTCAGTTCAACATCTAATTGGCCACTGGTACTTTCTACTGTTCTACTTTCTACTGTTTTGTGTCAGTGGAGGCAGGACAGACAACTCCCCTAAGTGTGTTGGACTATTAAATTAGTAGCTATTAACTGAGTACTATACACAATCAAGTGTTGCTGGCTAATAAGAAGGAAAAGAACATGAGTGGCACAGCCTACAGGGAAAGAGAATGTGACAAACATTTCATCTTGATGTAAGATCAGACACAAACATGTTTCATCTGAACATGAGAACATTTTTTTCTGGACAGATAATCAATCACTGGAACAACTTCTGCAGGATGTGGCAGAGTTCCCATTGCAAGAGGTTTTTAAGCTGCAGTGGAAAAGGGTGTTGGATAATCTTATCTAGGCTCCCTTTTCTGCAAAAAGTTGGACTGGATGATCTCTTGAGGCCTTATCGTCCTGAGATTTTTTATGATTCTAAAAGACCATGGATTTCTTAAGACAAGAATCACATAACTAGGGATAAGAAAAATAAAGAATGCAATAAATTTTATCTAGAAAGGAAACAACCATGTCTTTGTGAAACATTTATTAGAAACATGAAAAAACTTCCCTCTTTTGATTCTTCATCTCTGGTACAATTCTTGCCATGAGAGTCAAGGGGAAGTATTACTAGAATAATGTCAGAACTGTTTAGGATTTATGAAAATAAGCCTTTGGAAAAAAAATGCCAAATTTAATACACAATTTCAGAACAGCCTAAAAAAATTAGCTGCACAAAATTTCACTCAACTAGAACTTGAACTGGGTGCCTACTGCCTTTATGTCTGCAGAATGTGAGCTGTGGGTACCAAGAGAACACTTGAAACACAGGTGATATGAAGACAACAAAAGATAGACTTTGACCTGATCTTTCAGCAGTCAGATAAATTGCACGCTAGGAACTGAAACAGCAAAGATACATTTTTAATCAGCCATCACAATTAGACAACCCTTCAAAGCAGAAAAGGGGGCCATTAATATACTTCAGCTCTATTGAACCTCTGCTGGCTTCGGTGACATGAACACAGAACTTTCTACTCCGAGAAATTTTAGTTTCTATATTGTGAAGTACTCTACATGAAGAGGAAAGATTTTATTGTTGTTGTTGTTTTGGGTTTTGTTCTTTTTCCCTCCAATGGAAAACAACAGAAAAGATTTCCTACCATTAGAGAAAAACTGAAAGGTGTTTTGGCATACTTCATTATTAATCCAATAGCTATAGGCATATAAATTCTTCAGGGATTTGCTTTGGCAAATTACACCTATGCAAACTTATGTGTGTTTCATACAAAAAATACCTCAATAAACCTCTGGAAAGTTAAGCAGGTATTTTAGTCACTTACTGAGCCTGAGTCAAAGCAATTACAGGTGAAAAAGCCCATCACAAACTGTTTGACAACTTACTAAGTAAACATCCAAAACTGAAGCGTTATCATTTTCCATTTCCAATGTGCTCTGTTCTGAAGTCAAATAGATGGCACTGTCTCCCAAAGTGAATGTTGAACTCGAAGGTAACCCTTTACTGCAAAGAGAAGGGAGAGTACAATCAACCAAAAGTCCAAGTTACAAAGCTCAGTCATAACTGAAAATTTACAAATTTCTCTGTTAAACATAAAAATCTTCAAATACTTGGAAAATAGGAACATAAATAAACAAATATAGATATTTTGGCAATGGCTGGATAACTGGAAGCTCATATTTGACTACCTGTTCAGAAACCTCAGATTTCAGTTTTGCCTTTCCTAAAATTTTAACAGAAATTAATGCTATTCCTGAATGTCAGTATTATTTAATTAATGAAGCTATGTCACAGTAAATGTCACAAAGTTTCATTAATTTCAAAATACATTACTTCCATATTTCACATGGTGTAAATTTTGGCAGCATTTCATGATTCAAAACAGGGACAAAAGAGTAAGAAATTAGGCACATTGTAACACTACTAACATTGGACTTTTCTATGCAGGCACAGATCACTAACAGCCATAAGTTTAGAAGGAAAAGTGGGAGAACAAGAATATTGTGATTAGTAACCTATGCAAGGAAGTGATGTTTACAGAGCAGGTGCTATTACTTTATTCATTGATTGCTTTTTTTTATTCTCTGATGCACAGAAATAATGTGAAACTGCAAATGAACCTCCACATAAATCTCATTCTGTAACACACTTGGTCAACAAAGCTGAAACTCTCAAAGGTGTTTTAATGGAGTCAGGTGTCCCTTATTGCACATCTAGACTAGCTGCCAGAAATTAGGCTCCAGGCTGTCTTGAAAACTCAACTGTCAGTTGTGCAGAGACATATTTTAGAAATTCTTAACTATTTACAGACAAGGTGAAAAGCAAAAATCATGAATTATAACTTGGTATGGAAACATGGTTACAGCCATCAGTCTAAATATGACTCATTTCCCCCTCCCTTCTGCACTACTTTAAGTATACTTCAATGGGATAGAACTTCAGAAAGGGCAAAACTAGCATGCAGAAAATGTTGTTTTGATTCAATAAAATAATGAATCAGTGTTGTACTGGAACAGAGCTTTACATTCACCACATTACAGTGATCCTTTTATCATATAATGCACTGGATATTTTTCAAAAGCAAGACTATTTCTCTTGCACTAGAATGACCCAGGTGCTACTGACTTAGCACTATTCTCATATGTGTAACTTGAATTCTATTGACCAGTGTACAAGATTAAAAACAAAAATCTTGTAATTAATCTCTTAACAGTAATACACATGCTGTCAGCAGTTGGTAACTGAAGTTCAAATTTCTTCAATAGCATCATCATAGATGCATTTATTACCAGTTTCAATGCAGACTGATTGTAATGACACTGATAAGACAAAGACATATTACTGGCGGCACAAAAGAGAACAAGTGAAATCCCCACACACATAGTGTTTCAGAAAGAACAGTTTGGTGGAACAGAGTTTTAATACAGTTTCTACAGTGCACTGAGTTCTCATCCTTAATTTTTAGGTTGAAAAAGAAAAGCCAAGCAAAAAAAAAAAAAAGCCAGCACTTTTATAGGTACTTTCTTTCTCATAAAGTAATGACCAACCACAAGGAACATGCTCAACTATGATGTTGCCCTCCTCTGGCTAAAACATTCTATTTGATCTTGGTTCTCAATTAAGAAAAGAAAAAAAGAAACAAAAATAATTCCATCATTAGAGAACTGGGAAAGCTTTGTTTTGCTTTAAGCCACAATTACATGTTACTTCAATCATAGTCAAATTTTCTTTCCCATGGGGGAACCCCCCAGTGTCTCAGTGCATCTGTTCATACCATTTAAGCATTCAAGTCTTTTTCCTTCCACCCAACTGCTTATTATCATGAAGCATGTGTGAATTTAATCCACTTTGAATTGATTCAGACAAAGTTGTCTAAGCTTCAGAAACTAAGAGTAATGTGTAATTATAGTAATGGACAGACAGAACGTTGAAACTTAACATAGAAAATTTTGTTTATGTAGAACACCAACTGGCAAAAGGAGTGCTTAATATTCTTTACAGCAGAAAAACCAATACCTATAAATCCCTGTCACTGGAAAAAACAGCAGAACAACAGTTCAAAGTCTGGATGCTTCAGGAAGCTTGACTGTATGAGAGAAAAAACCCACAATCCCTCAATGCCTTCCAAAATTTCAAATGGTCTCCACCAAGAAACAGCAACACAAAGGTAAGACAAACAAAAACTTGAAAAATATACAAATAAGAAGGAAGAAGAAAGAGAAGGCAGAAGTCTAGACTACATATACATCTTACAGAAATCAGGCATAGAATGCATAAAGAGAAAGAAGAATTAGATTTCAGATAGATTTTTTCCCTTAGGCTCAGGTGTATCAGAAGAATTCAGCAGTCCTCCTTATACAGCCCACAGTATCTTGGCATTACTCTAAAAAGGGAGATGAAGGACCCCTTTATGCATCATGGGATTTTGCTTGGGTTTGGGACTAGAGAGTCCCACGAGGCCTCCTGAAAAATACATTGAAAAAAGACTTTCTGTATTCTTGAAATACTTAAAACATAAATTGTAAAACATCTACAGTTTGAAACATTTTAAAATATTTTAAAGCAAGTTTCAAACATTTCCAGAAGCACCATTGACCTCCTTCAGCTCCTTACAATTCTAAAAACAATGTCAAGTTAGAGGAGTTAGAGTGCTTAGGGCATTCAGATTTGTCATATTTAATTTGTCAGTACTTAATAAGAAAACTTTTCCTGGAAGGAGAAAAAAATCTATTATTGCTTCTGCTATAAAAATAATCCCCAATGTAATATGTAAGTATTATATTTACTAAGATAAAACAAACCCTTTCAAAGCAGTGGTTTTGGACTAATAATTACATTTTCTAGTGGAAAACAGACCATTTAGGTACTAAAATATCTCTGCACCAAATATAAACCTACTTGAGAAATGGAAAATATTTGAAAATTTTTATAGAAGCAATAAATTCTCAATTCTGTTCTTTTACTGAAGGAATACTTGACATTGCTTATGACAAAATCACTTGACTGAGAAACAGCTTCATGGAAAAGAAACCAGCTGTCTTCTGACAAACAAGAAAGCCTACATTTACTGAATAGCATATGTCATGATTGTCTTTCTTTTCTTTTTCCTTCTGTTTTTTAGGTCCAGTCCTTGTGCTGAAAAATACAGCAATTTACCCTTCTCCACTACTCTTTCATTTGTACTAATTCCTCTTCACACTGTCTGGACAGCACCTCAGGTTTCCTCTACTTTTTCAACAACTGAGGAATAACTTGGTGAAAATAATCAGCTTGCAGCCTGGAAAAACACTCCTATTAAGCTGTATATTTATGACTGCTGCTCAGTCTCTCTTTTACACTTTGATCACAAGTCCCCATACACTTCTCTGCATTATCTATCAATTAGTTATGCTAGTTCTAATCTGTACCAAGCCACCTTTACAAAAGCCCTCCTCACAAGACACAGGAGCTCCCTCAGGAGCTGGCTCCACCTCAGCAAGTCGCCTCTGTCTGCTTAATCTTAGCACCAGCAATTTCTCCCTATCTATCTCCCACAAATGCTGAGCACTCTCAAGGAAAGATGGTGCTGATCACCTTTCTTATGCTATTAGCCATTTGCCTCTCCTTGGGGAAGTATTACAATGGATACTAGAAACCAATTAATTCTGAAGATAAAAAACAACCCAAATAGAAAATATGATGTGTGCTTTAAGGTATCCGGAAGTATTACTGGTATCTTTTTAATGAGGACAATAATACCATCTGTTTTCTAAGTGGTATGGGCATATACTGCTCGTTAGTAGGAGTCAAGGAGCTGTACAAATATCACATTATTACTACACACACAGGACTCTCCTCCTTAATTACCTTAAACCAGAAATTTGTGACAGATTACAAGCAAATTCATGTACTCTCTACTTTGTGCTACGCTACTTTGAAGAACAAGAAAAAAGCCTACTGAGGAAGATGTCAAACGGTAATTCTATTAAATAATAAAGCAGAATATAGTCAATTACAGATTTAAAGATTGAAAGCAGGCTCACATTTGTAAACAAGCCTTTAATTCAGGCTTTATTTCAAAGACTGCTCTAAGTTTCCGTTTACCAGAGACAAATAGCAAAATGATGAGTCCTACATCACATAATTTTCTAATATTCAGAAGAAGAACTCTGGCAAGAAAAAACTCAGATCGAAATCAAATCTACAATTCAGTGCATCATTGTAGGATGAGGTTTTTTTTGTGGGTTTATTTCCCTGCTATCATTTTTAATAAGAGGACTGAAGTTCCTTCAGAGATCCATAAAAACATAAGTAAAACTTTAGATGTATTTAGTGCCAAGAAGAAGGAATTACCTCCCTGAACTGATGCCAGAAGAAGTGGATACAAAACACCAGGTGCCCAGAATCTTATGGAAATTAGGTCAATATTGAGCAGCTTTCTTAACTCCTAAGAGAAAGCTGTTAGCTATGCCAGGGAAGCTAATCCTCAAGAATTTTACATACTGAGACTGTGACACACACCACTACTTAATGAGAACTAAAAGCTGCCACCAGGCCCCAGCTGAAGAGGGCACACCTAGACCAGCAAAGATGCTAATTGGTAAGCCCCTATGACAGATCTCTTGGCAACAGTGTAAATATTTTGGCAGAAGCTGGTCGGAGAATCACACGTGTGAATGCTGGCACCAGGTCTGGTGTATTAGAGGACGTGCCCTCTTGTAATGATGAAGTCCATACCTGGACTGCAGACACTAACAATCTGATTTTGTAAGAAAAGCATGTTAATCACATAGTTTGCACGTGTCCTGCATTAGAGGTTATTTCATTGACTGAATCACGACTGGAAAATAAATGAGTTTAGATGTACAGTCAAAGTGTAGACCTGCTAAAAACTTTATTTTAGAATTACTTTGGAGCATCTTTACAGTACAACATAATGGAATTGCTCATAGGTTTTCCTTATAGTTAATTTTTTAGAGAATAAAGAATATTTGAAATGCTTTAAATCTGAGCTCTTTATTCAGACAACTCCACCATTCTCTTTTCCTGACTGATGGTGATACAAAGCAGTTCTGTAGTTTTTATTTGATGTTTAAAGCAAACAAAACCCTCCAGTACTCTGTAACTTTATTTCTATCAAAGAAAAAACTTTGTGAAAGATCATGAATATTGAAGTCCTACAAATAACTTGACACAAGTTGAAGTGAATGAGCTCTATTTCCACTAATGCTTATTCATCTGTAGTTTTATTTCCTGAAGTATTTCCTTGTGAAGAAACATTTTTGTTCTGCAATTAGAACTTCATCTTCATTTCACCGCAAAACATTCAAGTTTTTATAGCAAACCATCAGACATATGGAAGACGCCACATCAGTGAGATTTATTTCAACTTAATGCAAGTGGAAGCTGTAAATATCACTTTCATCAAGTAAAGCTGCAAGTCATTTTGCTTTTTATGTAAATGCGGTTGTCAAATATTTAACTGGAGGTAAAATCCTACTGCCTCAAGAGTGCTTTTAAAATAACTTGAGTTTTTGGGCAGCATGCAGTTTACAGGGAAGAACTACATCTTGGCACATTAGTGCATTTGTCAAATTTATACATTGAGTAGTTCAGGACTTCAAATTATTCCAAACAATATTCAGGATGCTTGAATGGCTATCCTTCTTGATGAAAACAGCAAAGAAATGGCTCAATACACAGTTAAGAGATCTGCAAGCAGGCAAGGTGACAAACACAAGACACTTCAGGTGCACAACGGAGCATATAGGCACATACAGAGATAATCTCCCAGCAAGATTTACTGGCTTAAGAATGGTATTGGACAGACACTGATGAAATATACTCAAACACAACTCAAATCACATTCAACCTAGCTCATTAGCATCTGCATTACTTTTCTTAAGACATTCCTCTTTTTATACTTTCTGGATTAAAAGCAGACAGGCTCTAATCACGCCCATGAATGAAGCTACAGATGTGACCTTAATGTAGTTTGGTTTATGGTACAGACTAAGACCCAAGCAAAGTTTAGGTATCAAATTTAGTTTTCGAGCATGAACAAAAATTCATATAACATTTTTCACTCTGTTTATGCTTTCCATCTCATGATCCCCAGTTACAATACGTAAAATTATGAACAGATATGTGATAAATCCTACAGGCTTTTGGCACCCCTCCTTCACTGGAAAGGTTAAAGACTGAGTTACAGAGACAGTTTCCCCTCCTGCTTCTTATTTTGTGAGCCTCCTGTTGAGCACAACATCAAACTTCTAGCAGAGCAGTGAGGAATCCTCTAGCATATATAGCCTTTACCTGCTAGAATAGAGGGTAGGTTGATCACGTTGACCGTGCTCATCTACATTCAAGGAAGAAGAAGAAAGTGTGGTTGCCAAGGAAGCTGCTTCAAACAAAGACGGAGTGCTTGGCACTAGATCCGGCCGGTGATGTGAACCTAGTACTGCATATGCAGAAATAAGGAACAATGTTAACAAATTTCATTTTAAATTGAGCCCGAGAATTTTCATGTAACTATATTGAGTCCCACAGTGCCCTCATCAGCTTCTTGCAATTTCCTAATATTTGAAGTAATGAGATGGTAGTTTTCATATGCCCACACCCACACTCTTTTGTATTACAGAGTGAATTTCAGCTGCTAACAAGTACATTCAGCAGAATACACAGTAACTCCAAGGTCAAATATTAAGCAGAGGTATGAGTTAAGGATTCTTAGCAATCCTGGGACTATTCTCGTGCTACCAGACCTCATTTATCTGATTAGATTAGGCAATTGGTTCTGCTTTCTTCATGGCTGCAGGCAAGTTCTGATAGGGGCAAAGTTGAATCTCTCCAAAATGACTCTGGGAACAATGAACTGAGCTTCAAAACACTCCATGTGACGTACTTGTTTAGAGGTCAGTGAAAAGTTCTGAAATCTGAAAGTTTAGCATTATACTACAAACTTTGATTCTGACTTTGTCTTGCTCCTGAAGGTCCATTTTGCCAAATATCACTGAAAACTCTCTCCATAAGAATAACCTCACTCTGATTTTGAGACATCAGCCATAGTGGTGCTGTTCTAGTTATAGGACTTCTAGAGTTTATACAAAATTCTTAAAAACATGATTAATGTTGTTGATCTGAAACACAGTACCTTCTTCATCAAGGCTGGCATAACTTTGTCCTTCAGCAAGAATGCCATGCTTTTCATCCTTCCAATCCTGGCTAACTGCACACACTATTTCTTGTGATGCTGCCTTTAGGGCTGTGATGGAATTGCACCGTTTCTTTGAAGGTGAAGGCCTTAAAGCTGCAATACCAAATGAACATAGGTGTTGAATGATGTCATCTTATCTCCCTGCACATCTTTAACAGTATATGAAAAAGTAAGTCATATAGAAAATCTAGGTTTTGAATACAGACGAAGAACATGTCCAGAAACTTACTTAAACATTACATTAAAACTAGAGTGAAAGGTATTATTTCATTTGCAAGAGAAGTACGTTTGTCTTTTTCAGTTTCTTACTGCTTATTACAGGACAATAAGTCAAGTCACTGGCACCACTAAGTTTAAAAGCTCCTATAGAGTACCAACCCATATAATCAGAGACAGAATGATACAGAAACAAGCCCCAGAAAATAGGAAAATGAAAAAGATATTTGGAGTATTCTGAGAGGTTACGATCTTTTTTTTTGAGCTGATAACCACTTCTATGTAATGGTACTGCAGAATTTCCACTTCATGTATCAAACATTTATTTTGGGTACAATAAACACTTCCAAAATTTTAATGGCCTACACATGCCAGGTATCAGCACCTCTTTTATAATTCCTAGCTAGGGCCTGCCTATTTTAAAAGCACTGTAGAACTGATCATTGCCACCACTACTGAACCATGATCCCCATCCATAGTTCTCCAGAAGGATGCCAGCTATTTCATTTATTGTTTTTCAGCTGCTGGCTGCTGATCTCCATGCATTGGCTGCAAAGTTACTTCAGATGCACTGTGACACTTCTTGCATTGCTTTACTACAAAGTTCAGATAAAACACTTCAAGTCACTTGGCTAAAGACTGAAGAAAAGAATCAGATACATAGCTCCAGGGTAGTTTTAAAAAGTAATATAGTAGATAGTTGCCGAGCCGGACTCTGCCCAAGGCTAAATCCACTTATTAAGTTTTTGTTGTTAATTATGCATGGTTGTTCTGTGCTCTAGGGGAGAAAAAACAGATTCAGAACAGGGCTTAAGTGTTTAAACAGAAATGTCTGACTCAAAGCTTAGAAATAGTATTCCTGAAGGCAGGAACACTCCCAATTTTTTATGAAAGAAAGATAATGCATGTGAACCACTAATCTGTATAAAAGTGCATTAACAGCCCTGTGTACAGAGGAAATCAATAAGAGTAGGATACTTAGACAGGTTAATAGCCTGGAAAAATGAGACAGATGAATCAAGATCAGAGAGAAAATTCGGCATGATATCCTTTAATTGCACATTGTAGGCTTCAAATACAGAATAGGTTGTGTCTTGTCCTAGAACAAATTTAGCAGTCAGAATTAGAAAGAATTGTGGAAAAAAAGACTCAGATGTTGAGGTAACATATATGGCATTTATTTTGTCAAACAGGAGTATCAAGTAGTAGGGGAGCAGACACTCTTTATTCTTTATCAGTTCAGAGGAGTTCCTTTGACTGTTGTCTCAGACAGCAGAACTCCCACCAGTTCTTCAACAAAATTATTCTAAGATTTAAAGAGAACTGGGTCTCAGGAGGCTCCTTTCTCCTTTAAGCTGAATTTTGCTTCACATTTTGTCACATTACATCGGATTCTTCTATTTTCTTATTAATCAGTCTTTTCCAAAGGATTTAACTTTCAACACTTTATATCATTAATTTATTCTAGTATTTGTAGTCATTCTTGGTTAATCTTACTTGCTTAAATCTTATTTAGCTCTAGAGTTTGTTTGTATTTTCTTCTCTCTCTGTCCACACAGACTTATTTCTTACTCCAGATAGCAAATGAAAATGTTAGAAGACCTTTTAACACTGGTCAAAGCATCTGCAAAATACCTTTTACCAGTTTCAGACAATTCCATATGCTTAACACTCCTTCTGTAGTATATGAGCCGAGTGTCCATTCCACATTTTGACACTCAAACTCTGAAGCAAATACACTTCCATGAGCAGGATTATGGGACTGCTAACTCAGATCCATTTTAAAGTACAAGTTTCTCTACAAACTAGAAAATTCTAGCCCATCAGTAAATACGTATTTGTCAAGAACACTGCTTCATAAAAAACCACTCAGCTCAGAAACCACTCTCTCCTAGAGGGTTACCAAAAATCAATTCTTACTAGAAAGATGCAAAAAAAAATGTTACAATCTCAGCATCATCTCCATGGGTTTAAAAAATAATCTGGTAGTAAAGCAGCAAGTTAATATGTATACACACTGTTTGAAACACCTAATCTCTATGTCTTACTGTAAGGTTTCATACCCTTTGGATAATTGCTGGGAAAAAATCTCATTGCTTACATAATCAGAACAGATTTTCCCTAAAGAACAGCCTGGACCTCATCAAACCCCAAGCACTCTTTGCCTTGCCAGTATACTTGTTAGTGACTTTCTTACTGCACACACATTGAGCACATCTCAGCAGCTGGCACAGAATGGCATGTGTTGGAAGGGATTTTAAAAATCATCTAGTTCCAAACCCTGCTGAGTTAGTGGTCGGTAGTGACACCTACCACTAGAGCACGTTGCTCAGATCCCCACCAAATTGGCCTTGGGCACTCCCAGGATTGGGCATCTACAATTCCTCTGGGCAACCTGTTCCAGTGCCTAATCATCCTCACTTGTAAAGAGCTTCTTCCTAATATCTAACCTAAATCTACCCTTCTTAAGTTTAAAGCCATCCTCTCTTGTCCTATCACTATATGCCCTTTTAAAAAGTCCATCTTCAGCCTTATTTTAAGTCCCCTTCAGGCACTGGAAGGCTGCTACAAGATTTCCCCAGAAACTTCTCTTCTCTGGGTTGAAAATCCTCACTTGTCTTGTTTGACTTCATAGGAGAGGGGATCCATCCCTCTAATTATGTTGGTGTCCCTACTCTGGACTCTCTCCAACAGGTCCATGTCCTTCCATGTGCTGGAACCTCAGAGCTGATACAGCCCTGCAGGTGGGGTCTCAGCAGAGCAGAGCAGTGGGGCAGAATCCCCTCCCTGGCCCTGCTGCCCACGCTGCTCTGGATGCAGCCCAGGACACGTTTGGCTGTCTGGGCTGGGAGTGCCCATGGCTGGGTCATGTCCAGCCTCCCATCCACCAGCACCCCCAAGTCCTTCTCGCCATGGTTTCTCTGTTCTGTTAATTCCCCAGCCTGTCTTGGTATCTGGGGTTGCCCCAACCCAGATATATCACTCTGCTCTTGGCTTTGTTGAACCTGGCCAGGTTCCCATGGGTCCACTTCTTGAGCTTGTCCAGGTCTCTTTTGTCCCACATCACCATCCTTCTCTGCACTTGCAACACTTCATATTGAATTTCCTTTCAGTAGCATGGTCAATTTATATAGAAATTATCCATCAATTCATCAGTATTTATAAGACTCACAAAATATCTGATTTTCCTGAAAAGCTGTCATAACAGATCATGCATCCATGGAATCACTACTAGAGGTTAATTCAAATTTTCTTTTTTCCTTTTAAAGATTTCTTCATTCTACCTAAAATATCTTAACAGTTTTAGTGCAGTTACTCTCAGCCTTTTCCTTTCATCTGTGTATCCTATTATTTTTCTTATTTAGAGTTGAAAAAAATACTTGGCACCTACACTTATGCCTTCTTATTGCATTATCAATTTTCCCTCCTCCTTCATATGCCTTTACACATAATCGTGTTTGTTGTTCTGATCTGCCAGGCCTTTAATACTGGTTTTCATGGGCCGGCTCAGAGTTTACTCTGTGTTTCTTTAGACACC